CTGCATCGTCTTGTGTTTATGAATGAGATAGGTTTCAATTTTACAAAGAATTAAAATCAAATTTGGAGCAATTTTTTTTATTCGAACATGCAACCGAATCAGTCAAAATGATTAGGTAACGAGAGTTTATTTGTGTTAAATAAGGTTGTGTCGGTTTGCCTCAATCTCCTTAATTTACAGTAGTCTGATATTTTATCAAGCTAGGTTTGCCTCAAAGTATTAACACTATGGAAAGAATCAGCTGCTATGTTACTATGGCTAAAGTGTGGTAATTGCGTGGGAAATAATTGAGGTTGGGATCCACAGATATGAGCAAAGTGATGCACTCGACATTGACATCTAATTTATACTCATTCTAAGCTAATGCATTTATGTGAACTTTCAGAAGGTGATAGGGAGCAAATGGAGCAATGTTGTTTGGATTTCATTGGGTTCAAGGAGATTCAAGAGAATAATGGAAGTGTTAAAGAAGAAAGGGTAATTCATGTTTGTTGGTAAAGTTTTCATTTGATTGTATAGTTAGGTGCTGATGTAATATCATGTGTAGTTGAAGTGAAGTATTAGTGTGTGGTATTGTAGAAATGAATAAGAATCATTGGATTGTGTTAGAGCAACTTTATTAAACAAAAAAAAATCCTCGTGAGAAATGATGTTCAGGATTATTCCTCACTGTTACCCGCCACCGTGATATGACCCTTGTTTTCAGTTCCTGCAATAAAGAAGTAATATTAGTGGTATATCAAAAACAGCAATTTATCACGGCTCACTTACTAATCTGAAAGCTTCCTCTTCTTCTCTGGTGTCTCCATTGTGCTTTCTTGCTCCTCTTTGAACTGGATTGTGTCCAACCTTGCATTGCTCTTGTAGCTCTCGGTCCACTTCTGAAAGTTCATACAAGGTAGCAATTAGCCCTGGGTTTGTTAAAATAAAAGCTAGGGGGAAATGGCCATAGTGTTAATTGCCTGACCTTGCCCATGGCTGTGAATTCTCACTTCATCTTTTCTATCTTTGGAAATCACTCCACTCTGGCCATAGAAACAGACGGCTGCTGGTGTCTTCTGAGAGATCAGGTTGTTCAGTTCCTCCACATGGTCAGCATCCATATCGTTGTATGTTGCCGGCATGTAGATGAAGTATTTTTGCGAGCCCATTTTCACATGACAGATTAAATTAATTGGTTTCCATGTCTTCCCATCTCTTGTCACATCATACAAGGACTCCTTCTGGGACCATTTGAATGGGGTGAAAAGTACCCCTATGGGCAAGCTACTAATAGATTTCTTTGATGCATATGCATCAAACTTTTCGGATAGCATCTCAAATACTGATTTCTGCAGAAAAAAGTTTCATACAAATGTTTAAGCAAAAGTAAGTTATGGATTTTCAAGGGGAAAAGTTGGACAAGTCGAATAAGTAACTTATTTTGAAAAGGCTAGCACTGTTAGAAAAAAATCCTTGGATTTCATGGGGGAACACTCGCGAAAAGTATTGCCAAAGTCCTTTGGGATTTCCCAAAGAACTCTGTAGATTTCTCGTGTCGAGTTTAGCTTTGAAACATATAGATGAATGAAAACTTCCATCTTCAACATCTGTTTTAGTACACAAAAACTAAGAACGGAGTCCTCTGGGAATTTATAATAGTGGTGGAAAGTTAATTTTTTCAGTGGCAATAGAATCTAGTTAATGAAGCTTTAGAAGAAATCTGACATCACATGCACGAGCAGAGATCAAGACTTTACACAAGACACTTACTTTTGGAAGCATGGTGATTGTTGGGTGATGAGTTTCAGAGCAGCAACACAGAAGAAGTTCTCGCAAGAAAACTCAAGAGCAACTGAATCTTAAAATGAGGTGGGGTATCCTTTTATAGGTGGCTGGAACCAGTGTTGAACATGGTTGCAACTTTATGAATGGGATTATTTCAAACTGTGGGAAATTAATTAAAGTTATACAAAGGTTTTGATGCAATATTATCCTACCTAATTTTCAACTATAAATTATTATATATTTTTACCCTTTTTTTTAAATTTGGCTTTGTGAGTGAACATAATTCATCTGAAAGCTTTTGTTATCTGGCCCCCTTTTTTTCTTCTTTCTTCTCTTGTCTATTGAACAAGGCGTTTGATCTGCTTGTGACTCAGCTAAAAGAAAAAATGAGTATGAATCGGCAATGTTGTGTGCCCAATTGTTCAAGTTCAAGTTCATTGCATAGTTTTATGTATCCTTTTCCTAAGTGGAAAGATGATGTTGAGAGTAAGATTAGGTTTGTACCTCAACACACACTTCTCCATTACTCTGTGATGACAGTACGAACTGATTTTGAAGAACTTTACTTACTCATGACAAAGATGGGGACGTCTTGTCCTTCGACTGGGGCCCTTGAAATGTGAAAAAAATACATGCGTTGGCATCCAACTGTTCCGCACCCCACCTGGCCTCCGAAAAAATGTTTGTCTGGGCGCTTCACAACATAATTGTTCATAATAATTAAGGACTTGTTGGAGCCACAGAGGACGTCATCACCAGAGGCTTCCTTGAATTTTTCCTGTAGCAAAGTCGCCCACCCTCCCTTCATAATCAGCCTTTTGCTGGATTTCTTGTCATTCTTGTCTTGCGGCGTGCGGTCAGGTTTTAATTGGTCGGGTCGGTGGCGTTCCCACCGTTGCGGGATTCGGAATGGCTGCTGAGTGAGGACATACGGGGCCGGTAGAAAGTTTTGAAACAAAACATTTCTCAAATTACTACGCCGAGGTTTGCAGCATGCCGCGTCATCGCACTTAACAATCTAAAAAAGGAAACAATTAAAAATATAACAAAAATAATTATTCTAGGAGCTTTTTGAGTTTTATTCTCACCTGAAGGCAATATTGGCTTTCGCGCACATGTGTGGCTTCCCACAAGTCTGACACAACGGTTAGTGTGGGCAGTTCTTCTCCCGGAGGGACATACTTCGCCACCACGTTGAAGCCGTCAATCACCAAATCGTTCCAAATCTCCGCCAGTGTTTCCCCTAAAATATTGAAAAAGGTAAGTATTTTTGACGTTCGACAAATGATATTTTAATTTAATTTAATTGTCTCACCTGCGTGCTGAAAATTTTGTATTTCCAGGTCAGAGTCTATGGTGTTTCCACTGGAGTCGAGGTGAGATCCATAATGGTCATGGGGTAGAACAACGCTTGAGAGCTCTCTACTCAGCGGGGCCATTCTTCTCTCTACCCTGTTGTACGCTGACCGTCCCGGTGCGTTTGTGAAAGCAAAGAGCCCATCCAGATCATGGTCAAGAAAGTGAGTAATGCAGTGACTAATAACTTTCTTGTAGCGCGGATTTTCATCCGGGCCCCCGTCTACGGAAAGTATTAGCACAGGTTTCACTTTTCCATCCGGACCATGAGCCAAGTCCTTGAAGTGTTCCAAAGAGAGGACAGTGTTCAGATCCGTGGCGTGGGTGGCAGCTGTGGATCCACTGTGTTTTCCACTTCGGATGGCTATAAACGTCGGCCCAGAATAAGTCACAGCCTCCGGTCTCCCCATGCCGTCCTTCTTTATAGTGATTCCTGCATAAACCGACGGAGTCAACTGGTGGCGTCCACCGACAACAAAGTCATGGTCATCCAGACGAACCCTATATTCGAGGTGCATTAAAATAGGGGCTTGCAGCTTTGCAGCTGTTTTGCCAAGTGGCACCTTAGCTTTATCATCCTGAGATATAAATAAAACCTGTAATTTCAAAAAAAGAATTTTAAGAAAAGTCAAGAAATTTGTTCAGAAGTACTAAATATTTAAATTTATTTGTTTACAGACACAGACCTGGTCAGGACCCAGTATAGACGCCACCTGCTCCAGTGCCGTGATTGTTGCCTTGCAAAAGTGTTGGTCGGCGTGATCACGGTGGTGATCTGCCTGAGCTCGGCACAGTTTCACTGGCACTGTTGTGACATGTCGTTTTCCTTCGTTTGAGTCCGAGCGCCGCGGGACAAGCCTCCGGTAAGTAGAAGTTCTGGATATTTTGAAGTCCATGTCTTTGAGGGCTGCTTCAAGTTCATCTAGAGTCTTACAAGCTCGGAGAACCTCATTTCTCCGACGATCTGCGGCAGAGCAGCCGTGCAAGGCAATATCTGCTAGAGCTTTTAAGGGATCGTACCCATACTACGTGAC